CCGCGGCTGCCGCTGCAGCTGTTGCTTCTAATCAATTGGCAAGTTCACAGGCGAATAATCTGAACGCTGCTACCAAACTGGCTGCCGCCCAAGCAACTGCGGTCTCTAGAGCGGAAACCGCGTTGTTGGAAGTGAATGCAGCGGCCAAGGAGGAGGCGGCCGCCATGGCGAGAGCAGATGTTAAAAGTGCTGCTCTTGAAGCTGCGACCGCGGTTCAAGCGAGTGCGCTTCAAGGTGTAAGGGACGGAATTGTAATAGGATTGGATTCATCCGCTACCAAGCTTAACGAGCAACAGGCGGTAGCATTATGGGATGCATCCGCCAAAGATGGGAAGAACGTAGAGATAACAGAGACATAAGAAGTAGCAAAGGGTTGGGATAGATGTAAAGGAGAGCGATGATATTTTGATTTCTTTAGAGGAGGAATATGAAAAGTTATAAATATAAGCAATGTAGCAATGTAGATCTTGTCTTTTATTCCCTTTGTTTCCTTTAAATTCCTTTGATTTCGTCCTCTCTTTTGTAGAATTTATATAGAAGTCCATGTATTACGGATAGAAGCATAAAGAGCGAAATTATTGTATATATTTTGATGTATATTTTGTGATTTTTTAATTTTGTCAATAAAGCGTGTTACTATGACGATGCGGTAGTTCATTTTACTTGCTGATCTATATGTGTGTTTTTTTCTACGAAAATATGAAATAAAATTTAACATACAGATTTCTTGTAACATACGTAGATTTCTTAAGCCCAATTGCCTGTATGGAATAAAGAATTACCTATGTGTCGAATAGCATACTTTCTCTGTATTAAATCGTACTTTGCGTTTGAACAAAAATTTTACAATTAGGCATTGATGTAACGGTATAATGTATGAACATTATACGCTGGCTTAACGAATTGTTATATGATTTATTAGAATAAACGCACGAAATTAGTAAATAAATGCAAGAACGTCATTCTCTAACGTACCATGTTAGAATAATCACTTAACGTGCAAAAGAGTCAGTATTATTAAAATATCTACGTATCTCTATCCTTGATTACGATTTTTATATATAGTTAATTCTATCTTCATACTTAAATTTTATTTTTACCACGATTCGTACATCTGGTACATTTCAAATAACATAACTTTCCATTGTTCATCACCCATACCAGTGAATCAAAAATAGTCCAAAAAAGCAATACCGGTTCTAAGTATTTCAAAATTAAAACATAATTCTTCATTCCCCTAAATATTTTCCTAACCAGAAACAATATAAACATAAAAAAAAAACAACGAAAACAAGTGACCTTGATACCGAAGAATAAAGATACCACGAAAGTCGTCATTTGAAGATCGTCAAAATTTAGTTACCTAAATTCGTCGATCGTGCAACACTTCCGTTCTCTGTTCTCTACTGATAACGCTGTTTAATCAAACACCTCCAAACTTGCAAGCAAAACATCTTGCAAACCAACTCCAGAGCACAACCTGAAACAATATTTTTAATCTCGCTTAGTCAGACAGGCGAGCCATTATTTTCACAATTGTCGGCGGTGCTATAAATCCGTCCATCCTTGCACACCCGGTATCAATCCGCGAAGCGTCGTCGAACATGAAGATTCCAGCACTGCTCGTAACGTGCCTCTATCTTTGGGGCTTCGCGTCCGCCAGCCCGAGCTCATCCCTGCTCGAGATCGTGCAAGGTAGCGCGTCGGCCACCGCATCCACCGCTGTGACCGCTAGATCCGGACTTCGTGCCGGTCAGATATCCCTGGCCTCGCAGAAGGATGCCTCACTTCAGGCAGATGCCTCAGCGGCTG